TTTTATCCTTTTGATTCTTGATGTAGCATTTTGATTCAAATATAACCAAAAAAGTAACAAAAGCAACAATTCTTCCTCAACATCCAAGATAATAGAGGAAAACAGTGGCTTAAGTCCCATCTAACTTTTAGTTAAAGATGAGATTATCGAGCACTGGACATATTATCTTGATAAGTTGTTCAATGGAGATACTGAGGCAGTGTAGAGGAACTTGAAGACCATTGACGACGTTGCTAGAAGGTTGTCCAAGAAAGTTGAAACTAGGTAAAACGCCTCGAGCTAATTGTATTTTGTTAGAGGCTTGCAGAGCCTAAGGGAGGTCGGTACGATATGACTTATTGTATTATTTAATGTCATGCTTAAGACAGAGGTTACGTAATGAATGGAGGAATATTACCTTGGTCTCACTATACAGAACAAGGAGATGTTGGTAAATGTACTAATTATCGCCTTACCAAGCTTTTAATTTGCTTATGGAGTTTTTTTATCTAGAAAAGGTGTATGATATGACAGGGTGCTGAAAGAATTGATGCGTCGGGGTTGTGAGAAGGAATTCTTGACCATATACGTTAATGTGATTAAAAACATGGATTCCCGTGTGATCACAAGCGTGAAAGAATGCAAAGGACGTAAAAAGGGGGATCCTATCAACTTGTTCCGACCTGGGATAATAAGCTCATGAGCTTGGTCTTACTTCACTGTCGAGAAACGAAAGAAGACTGAGACATTGACAGTTGAATACTTTCGTCAAAGAACAATCGACCAAAAAGGAAATCAAAACAGTAGAAAAAACAGTAGGTTTAAACCCAAATCACTAAACATATACAAACCAAAGTTGAATCGCTAAACACATACTAAAGTCGAGAGATGGTACCTTGAATCGAACGTTGTGTATTCAACAGGTGCTACAATCGGGTCTTCAACAGGTATGATTGGTGGTTCGATCAACTAGAATGAAACGATAACGGGTGAATCGGGAAGAGAGACAAATTGAATCGATGAATTATACCTAGAGAATGAGAAGGAGAGGAATGACATTGGAATATATATATATATATATATATATATATATGGGGTTGGGGTAGACGAAGGAGCGATTAAGAGGAAAATTACCATTCAGAGCTTTTTTAAAAGTCTTGTCAAACAAGATTATGTCTGACCGATTCAGACCCTAGCCTCTTAATGAGATCAATAAGTGGAAACAAACAGCCCCTTAATATTATAGATAAACCACCACTCCCAAACATGGGTCGGCTTTACCTTAATCATTAAGTTCATTTTTCGTAAGCCACATCAAGTCCAATATTTTTTTAAACAAGGTTTTAATGTAAACACATTAAAACCTTGTATTTTTCGTAATTATGTTTTTAACACATACTTTCATCATTCAATCATAATAATAATTCATTATCAACATTATAAACATATGATATTATTCATATTTTTATTTACGTAATATTTATATTGAAAAATATGCGTTTGTTTATGTTCAACCATATATATTTACGTACATACCATTTAACCGTATCACTGTATGACATGTGTAGATACAAAATTCACAATTTCTCTTATCGCTTTTCCACTTGGTTAGTCTTTGCGTCTCGTTAAGTATCTACTTAGATATTTTTATTTCATTTCATAGACATTTTCACTTTTAAACGTAATGGTATCTTACTTTTTATAGATAAAAAATATGACTGTTACAGCTATCAGCTACGCCATATATTTATTACTATGCTATATTTTATTGAAATTTTATTATTTGTAAAACAGGATAAATATGACTTTATTCATTATATGACTTATAATTTCTAATTATTATTATAAGATGGCGTTTGTTTTTTAAGAGGTGTTGAAGTTTGAAGTCTTATTTCACTTTTGATTAATAAGAGGTGATGCTGAAGTTTGAAATCTGAATCCATAAGACTATTTGTTTTTGTAAATTGATAAATGTATGAATTTGGTTAAATTGTCTATTTTGTCCATTAGAAAATTATAGTGTTAAACTTATAGATAAATTTATACAATTTCACATATTTATTCATCATCATTACAAAATTTACATCTAAATTATGTAATTAACATTCATTTAAACAAAAATATGTTATTAACGGTATTTAACACATTTAAATCCTATTAAAATACATCAATTGAGATATATGAGGATCGATTTGGTAAGAATCGATTGAGAGAAATGATCGATTAAGTTTAATCGATTGAGAAGCATCGTTGTTGATAGTTTGGAAAACAACAAGAGGCAAATCAATAAGAGGTTGGTTTACCTCTTATCAGATAAGAGGTGAACAAGACATACGTGTTTCTGAAAAATTGGAAAAAAACAAACAGTCTGAATGACCCTACCTCTTAATTAATTAGACATAAGAGGCTAATAAGAGATTTTTTTTTGAAAAAACAAACAAGGCCTAAGTTTTTATATACCTACAATACGTGTTCTACAGTAGTATTGCCAAGAAGTATGTAAACATCTAAGGTCGTACACAAATAATATGTATGCTTCAATATGATTATTGGATAATTAGAAACCCAGATAATATCATGTTGATTATAAGATTGTTATTCTGCTAGAATAACTAAAGTATGTGTTAAAATGCAATTATAATAATTACATGATCTTATATGTAAATGCATTTACATATAATTTTTATTATGATTAACTAGAAGCGTACTCGCGCAATGCAGCGAGATACATCGTGATTTTAATATTTAATTTTATTCTTTATCTCAGTCGATGTTATAATATGGCTTTATGTGATTTTGAGAAAGCAATGATGTTTTTATTTTTGAATAAAATATATGTTTGAAAATATCATAAAAATTTGACAAAAATATATCGATATTAGTATCAAATTAACTATTTGAAATTCCTCATTTTTTGTGTAATTTTTTAATTCAATTTTTTTATAATTTAATTTATATTTGGTTTAATAATATAATTTTTTATAAAGATA